TGTGGATGACACCATCATCATCTTGCAAGAATTGCAGGAAGTGTAACCCTATGGACAAATCTATTTTGTTTTAATCTCATCTACATGAAAAAATATCTTAAATTTCCATACCACCATACTGCAAATGAACATAAATTTCTCAGTGAATTAATTTATGCATTTACTTGTCATACCTCGATAATTTTCTTTTAATGTGATGACAACGCATATCACAAAAACGTGGCTCTCATCTATTTGAATTTCCAGAAGCTAGAATAAAAAATTAGATTCTAGGGAGAGATGGTATAGCATTGATTCCAGATTCAATGGATTGATTTTTATCCACCAGTGAATATCTGGTTATTAGAAAATAAGTTAACAATTTCAGAAATGTACAACATAAAAAACCAGCACTGAAAAGGGTCTTAGAAAGTGTCGGTTCAATGCTCTTATTTTTCAGTTGGGGAGGCTAAGGCTTAGAGGGGATAAATGACTTCTTGAACATCAGGAGCTAATTACAGACAGAGCCAGGTCTCCTAATTCAATGCTTAACACACTTTGTTCTCAACAACAGTGCAATTAGACAATCATTAAAGGTCTGCAGAGCAGGAGATTCAGATCTTATACATCTTCTGTGCATGTTCACATTCACTCAGTGACGTTTATTTCTGCAGCCTGTGGTTACAAACACAGTAAATACCAAACAGGTATGTAGAGCCCTATGTGTAACAGCCGCGAGGCAACCCTGAGGCCGCGACACTACCAAAGTCATCAAATTTCATTTACACTCTTGACTGCCCAGCCAGCAGGGCACTGATGAAGAGAAAATTAATTTGTAAACTAATGGTTTGCCAAAATAAATCAAGTAGAAACTAGTAAATTCAGATGAGTCTTAGTCTTTACACGAATACTCATTGTAGTCATGCATATTTTTTGGTTCATTCAAACAGTATTTGCTAAGCACCTACTATGTGCTAAGCATGGCTCTAGACATTGTACAGACAAGAGTGAGCAAGAAAGGCCAAGGACCTGTCCTCAAGAAACTGACAAGTAGCAGAATCAAAAAATAAACGATAAACAAATGGATTGTAAGTGCTAATGCAGAAGTTAAACTGGATGATAGTCATGAAAAAGGTTTGATTTTTGGACAGGTGGCCTCTTTGAACAGGTGACATCTGAGCTATGATCTGTCTGATGAGAAAGTGACAGCCACGGTGAGGAGCAGAAAGAAGAGTACTCCAGGCAAAGGGGAAGGCTAAGTAAGAGGCTCTGGTATGGGAACAAGTCTGGGGTTACTGCACAACAGTAGGTAAGGAGGAGCAAGGTGGTAAAGACACCCACTGGGTAAGAGACTTGAAATGTTCTTTTCTCAAAGATAATGGAAAGACAAACCCCTCTTTAGAAATGAGTCTGAACGCCTCCGCATAATTTATTATTTCACTATATATAGGCAGGACTGACCTCTGCATTAGGGAAGCCATAGTGACTCTAAGTCATGTGTAACTTACTTTTACGAATTGAGTATAGAAAATGCGCCTCAGGTAGGTGCTTAAATGTGACTTTGCTCACAAGAAAAAAAAATAGTTACAGCATTTTGACCACCTGGGATTCAGACATGCCCTTTATTTAAACCTGGATGGGTCACAGATACATTATCATGTGGTTTACCTTGGCCAGCAGGTAAAATCTAGACGTACTAAGGTTAAATTTACTCATTACTACTGAATTAGTCAAATGATTAAAATTCTTTCAAATAACTGATGCTATTTTTTTTCTGGTATTAGTGCAAGTTATTTACATAGCCTGCGTGTCGTATGTAGAAAATTGCACATATATATGTGCAATGATCAATAATTTATTAGGAATTAGGCAGCTCATAGGTAACATGACTATGCATATAAATACAAAGACCCTGGGCCACCTAAGGTTGGAGGATATGGACCAAGTACCTGAATTCCAGCTTTGCAACACCGAACCTGTGTGCTCAAGCCTGGCAACATCCTAACCCTGTCTGAATCTCATGCCTCTCTCAAAAATATAGGTTACGACACCTTACTAAGTTGACGAGACAATGAAACAAAAATATCTAAGTGTCTGGCATATAGAATAAACTCAGTAAAATTCAGCATGTTTCTCTCATTTCCCCAATGTATTTTCCTAATAAAGGTAGTAGCATTTACAATATGGGAACAATTATCACACAGATTTCATTGGTCTGTTTTAATGAAAATGTTGTGGTATTTTTCACATACAAAAAGGAGGTAGGACAAAGAAACTGTTTCTAAAGCTCTTCATACATCAAACTCTGAATTAAGACCTAGTTTTCTAACTGTTCCACTGCCTGGCATCATCCCATTTCGATTGTCTAGTTTCTCTGCAGTTTCCACTGTGCTTCCTTCATCTCAGACACAAACACGTGCCCAAGTGCAGTAAATCACAGTTAATTGCATGTCTTAAATTAAAAGACAAAATAATGCACAATTAATTGGGGGGAAATTGTCAGTTGGTGAATGCATCTCGCTCATTATACTTCATGCACAGGATGCACACCAAGTGTGTGTTCCCAGCAAGAAAGTTCAGTCTCTGACAGTGAGGGAAGGGGCACGGCACAGCCTCTCTGTAGTGCAATCTGGTCCGAGGAATTACATGCTCTAAAACACTCAACATCGCACGGGCAGCACACACAGCTTTCTCTGCAAGGGTGGCCCATACAGGACTGTATCATAGTGAACAATTAGAAAGAACTAGAATTTTAGCTGATATAGATGAAATAAAGAGACAGCTTTGGCCAGTAAGAGAAAATCCTTAGATATGAATTTATCATATTTGACAAAATGAGAAAGTGTTCATAACATATTCTTATGTGAAAATGATTTACAAAACAATAGGTTTGGGATGTATGTTTTTTAAACTCCGATTATTTAATAATACTTTAAAAATGTATATTTTTATTGATTTTTAGAGAGAGGGGAAGGGAGAGAATATGAGAGAGAAACACGAATTGGCTGCCTCTTGCACACCTCTGACCAGAGATTGAGCCCGCAACCAGGTCAAGTGCCCTGAACAGGAATCGAGCCTGCAACCCTTCCGTGCATGGGTCAAGGCCCTACCAACTGAGCCACATTGGCCAAGGTGGTAAGTTTGGTTTTTGAGGATTTATAATAGGTGGAAGAAGCAAGAAAAGAGAGAAGGACAAAGGCACTTGGAAAAGACACAATCAAAGTGTTAATATTTGTTATCTCTGAGTTGTTTATACTTTCTAAATTTTCTCTAAAATTACATTTCAATTTATTTCTGAGTCTGATATTATAAAATGTCTGTTTTAAAGATCCAGAAGAATCTTTTAAAATAAATGTAACTGTTACAGTAAAAATATCATCATAAAATTTAAAAATAACCCCCAGTAAACATCTACATACAATTCTATTACACTCTTAGTTATACAGACAAAACCAAGTTTGTAAAAATGTATTTTTAAAATATTAAGAAAACCATGTTCAATAAAATTGAATGTTTAATACAATAATTTGTTCTAACATATACCTTATAGTATATTAACACACCAAAGGAAATCACTATAAATCCTTATTAACTTACTGATACTGACAAACTACAAATATGTTCACAGCATATTCAATAACCTTGAATGTGAGGAACTGCAAATCTTCTTTCCTCCCACCTACTCTCCCATTATTTTCTACCCTGTCATAGAAAGACCCAGTATTGTTCTGATGCTAAAATCTGCAATAAACAACACACACACACACACACACACACACACACACACACACTCTCATCATCATCATCATCATCATCATCATCATCATTTTTATCAAACCACATGAGGACAGATAACAAACTTTTGTAAAATACAAATGCTAACTTTTGTTGTATTGCAAATTTAGAAGAAAAGAATACACAACACCCAACAGAGTAGGTTTATTCCGAAGTTATTAAATAGTCTACTAACCTTGACATAAGAAATAAACATTGCCTGCTTTCTTTTATTTTTCAGGAGGGGTAGGGGCAGAGTGAGAAAATATAATCATATTTCAGCAAAAGCCCATATCTCAACCTCAGGCATCTTTATATCCCAAGGGTAATATTTCCATTCCACTCTTAATGGAACAAATTTCTAATCAGAATATGTATTCAAAAATAATTGAGGCAATGCAATGTCAACACATCATGCTGCCATCAGCATTCCCTGGTGTTAGGAATCAACTCGGCAGGCTCTTTGGTGTGACAGAGAGCCAGGCAATGCAGAAATGTCAGACTTGGTGAAGGGAGGGGAGCGAGCAAGGACAATGCAACCACTGTGCCTCTCTTGGGTGCTTAAGAAGGTGTTTGGAAGAAAGCTTCTGCACTGGAAGTTGACAACCTTCAATTGTTTAAGGAAGAGATGACTTCAAATGTGTCCAGACAGGACCCCAACTTTCCAATCAGAATCAGTGTCAATTTTTACAAAATTATTGAGAATTTCTAAAATAATAGTCACTTCCAAAAAGGTTAATACCACCCCTGGATTTTTAAATTATTAAAACCTTAGGCACCGCATACTATTGAATATATTTTGTGATGCCCTGAAAAAGTCCAGAGGCTTACATTCAGGTTTCCTCAAGTATGACAGTATATTGATCATCGTTGCGGCTAGATGAGTAGTGGGTGTTCATTATACTAACTTTCTACTTTTAAATGTTTAAAATTCTCATAATAAAAAGTGCAAAAAATTAGATTTCTTTCAATATATTTTATGTTCAAAATCTTACTAACTTTTCCTTGGGAAATATATAAGATGTGATTTATGCTTATGATTACTTAAGACTTGAACAAGTGGTCTGAAATTTTTAAGACTCCACCAAGCATGATGCTGATCATAAAAAAAAAAATGTTCATTCCTGAATAAATTTTACTGTGATCTATCATGCTAGAAGAAGTGCACCTAAACAAATGCAGTGCCACCATCTGCCTGGCATTCGCACAGTGTGACAAAATAGACTAGTAATTAACTGCTTTCCTACCGAAATCTGCCAGCTTTAACTCCCCCGTGTCACTGATCAGAAGGTTCTGTGGTTTCAGGTCTCTGTGCAAAATATAACGCTGGTGGATGTAAGACAGCCCTCGCAGCAACTGAAATAAAAACAACTGAAAAAATAGGGAGATAAAAGTTAAAATCTGAACACACATAAATGCTTGTTTCTACATACAGTCTGCCAAGTACTTGTATTTAGTTAAAATGGGTACGTTCCCCCCAAACCCATCATTAAATTGTCTACCAAATTATTTAAACAGAATGTGCATGGAGGTATGAAAGTCCCTCATTTATTAAAAACTGAATCTGAAAATTTCTAACAACCCATCATGTCAACCCAGAGTGATACCTCCTCAACCAAAGAGATCTACCACCTAATCTGTGTTCTATAAATTAAGCAAGATGTAAAGAATGTATCTTTATAATATCTGATTTCCTTAGGCCTTAAATTAATGTTAGAGATAGAAAAAAAATCTATCCATAACATTATTAAAAGAAGCAAAATATTTTACCAAGTTTATGTAAATGTGCACATATTTAACTCCATAAACAGGATACCCAAGGATTATCCCATTAACATGCTTTAAGGAATGAAAAGATAGATGATGTCAAATAATTAAAACAAAAACAGTCACATGGTCCAATTAATACTACATTGTAATTACACTGTTTTTGCACATATGGCCACAGAGATTAGGCCATTGCCTAAAGACAGACATGCACCTTCACTAATTACAGAGCAGACCCACCCAAAGGGAAAGGAAACTCAGATAACAGAGAAATCAAGAATTCAAGAGCAATACTTTTGTAAGAAATCATTTTAAGAAGCCATAATGGCTTTCTCTGTTTAGTTTCATATTAGATCATATCAAATGTGTCTATTTTGATAACAAAACACATGTGATTCGCTAGGCTTTCCAATATTCTGTTTATAAAGAAAGGAATATTTTTAAACAATCTATTTGCCAAAATAATCCTAATTGGCAGAGTTTTTAAAAACCAGTCTCCTAAAACAAAAATAAAAACAAATGTTTTAAGTGCCATTAGTGTTCTAGTCTATACAGTCAGCTTAGTAACAAAAGGCAGGATCAGGAAAATGTTAAACATTTAAATTGTGAAAGACTGATGGTATCGGGACTCCCTAACATTCAAATTGAAAAAAAAAAAAAAAAGGCAACTCCTTGAGGGCCCTGGAAGCGAGCATTTGTGGAATATTTTCCATCTAACCAGGGGCCATAAAAGCTGAGTCCATTGTTTACAGGGACTTGAGATTAACGGGATGAGGAAGTCATGTCAAAATCTCTGGATATGAAAGATGCTGTGGAACGGACCAGACCTACGATCATTATTTCCAGAATCTAAGCATCCCCAAGTAAAAGTCTGTTCTGTGTTGGCCTACATTAAATGATTGGCTCAGGAACCTCAGGAAGCAAACATTTCTCAGCCTCCTCCTCTCCGTCCTCCCCCTGTAGCAGATGAAAAGACTTAACACCCCCACCAGCAGCTTCCAGCCTCCTTCTTCACTTCTAATAGGCCCTGCATCCTGAAGCCTAATGCTTACAGTTTCTAAGAAAATCCATATTCCTTCAGTTCAGAAAGGAAGAAGAGTGAGCAAGTAAAGCCACTTTGTTTCTTCAAAAGCTTTTTAAAAAAAAGACAGACCACATAATAAATAAATTTAACTGGTGAGTACACAATGTAACAGTATACAGATGATGCATTATAGAATTGTACACCTGCAGCTTATATAATGTTATGCACCGATGCCACCTTAATACATTTAATTGCATCTTGAAAATTTTAAAAATAATAACCTGATTTTGAAGAGAAAGTTGGGCATTTGGCAAGGTGCTAACTAATTTGGGGGGCGTAACGGAGACTTCTCGGAATGTGATTGTGTATCCAGCCGTGGCAATGCATTTTAGTTTAACAAACACACGCCAAGTGCCAGCTGCCATTCTATGCATCATAGAATAGGAGGTCATTTAATCTCTGCAAGAATTTTAATGAGGAAGGAACTTCTATCATGTCTGTATTAATGAAGAGGAAACAGAGCAGTTTCTCGGAGTCACAAAGCAATTAACTGGCAGAGCCAGGACTCAAACCAGGCAGTCTGGCTCCAAAGGCCAGGCCCTTAACCACTACACTATAGGAATCTTGGCCAGAAATCAAAACAGGAAGGCACAGTGTTGATATAGACACTGCTTTGCAGGATAAAGTCTGGGCACTTAAAACCATGGCCTTCAAGGCCACTGAGCTGAGCCTTCATCCATCCGAGTGCTCAGGCATCATCACTACATTCGCTGACTCCAAGCGATCTTGCTCACCCCCACGCTCAGAGCATCCTATCCTTCAACCCTTTACTTTTGTTCTTAACTGATCTCTGACAGAAAGCCCTCCCTCCTCTTGGCCTGATAATCTCTATGTATATCTTAGATCTCTCCTCTAGAATGACTCCTCCCTGACCATCTCCCAGGCCTTCACTCCCCTACAGATCTCCATGACGTGCTCCTGCTCTGAGCTCCTATGGCAGCCTCTGCACATGTCTGTGGCAGTGCAGCATTATCCTACCTGCCACAGACATGTGCCTTAACCATCTTCCTAATCTGGTACACAGCTGGCACTCCTATACCAGTAATGAACTGAACTTAGAGACTTCCGGATGAAGCTGATACAAAAATGGCAGGGAGGAAATGATGGAATAGAATTCTCTAGAAGCTAAGTGCAGAAGTGGGTACATCAAACAGTCCCAAGAGGCTCTTCTTTTAATATCTTTACTAATTAGTGAAAACATATAATCCACATGCCAATACAGAAGCTATCCAAATAAGGTATCATATAAAAGGAGATTACCAAAATCAGTGTTAGGAAAGGATGCAACTACGCAATCCCATGACAACTGGACAAACTCAACTCCAAACATGAGAAATAGAGCCCAAACATTAAGTCATAGCCACAGACAAAACAAGAACAAATCCCCATAGGATAAATTCACTCAGGATTTACGAAGTGCCATGGGGCAGGTGCTGTTATGTAAGAGGTATGCAAAGATGAACAGAATATGAGATGTAGTGCCTGCGCTCGGGAACTCACAGCCCCTAGGATGTGAGGGGGCACATAAACAGATAATCACCACTCAAGGAGGTATGCACTGTAACAGCTACACAGACTGAGTGTACTGAGGACACAGAGGAAAAGGGATCTAGCAACAAAAATGTAGAACTGCTCCTGCCATAATATGAAGAGTGTCCCTATGGAAGGGATGAGGAATAGGAAACGTGTCACTCTGAAAGCAGAATTCATTACACATAAAATTTTAATAGAAAATCAAAGGGATCATTCACTAGGTGCACAAGTTGAAATGATGTCTTATATGACAAACCCCTTCCTTTTTGTGGGAAAATATTGAGGAAACTAAGCAAGCAGATCACCAGATAAATTAAGAAAAAAAAACTTAGATAAATGAAAAGATAATATATGAAATTGTAAATCTACCAGTTCACCATCATAAAAGTAATGGTGACAAGAAGACAACAGTAGACTTATTGAAAACATTAGAAATAACATTCAACTGCACTTAACAGAGTATGTGCTGCTGGCTAAGGGTGGGAAGGCTGCAAAGAAGCAGAGGCTGACTTAAACAGAATGTCCTAGGGAATGTTCTTTGGAAATGTCCTGAGAACTCAAGTCTTGGGGATTTCTTCCTTTAGACAAGCAGGCAAGTACCTAACTTTCCCGTGTACATTTTTGAGAAAGCTAGTTCACTTGCTCATTGTATAAATTACCACACAACAAGATATACTCGATCTTGGTGAAAATCAGAGGACAGGATGAGAACAAGAGGGACCACCAAAGAGGGGTCCCATGCAGAGAAAGGATAAACATTCACCTCTGGTATTTGCTAATAAAACTTAGTAACCATGAGTGGAATCTCAATTCCCAAAAAGAAAAGAAGGGGGACTTATACTAACTGAAGGCTTACTCTAGTTTCAATGCTGGTCCGAGCACTTTTACATATATCATCTAATCCTGTCCATCCACAACCCTGTAGTTTTCCATTTCTTTGAAATAAATGAGAAAACTAAAGCTCTAAATGCTCAAATTCATCCAGCCATCACACAGTGCTTATGAATTTTCCACTATCCCTCATTACCTTAAATGAGGTTGATGATTAATAAATGCACAGATGAATAGTTATACACCCAATATAGGCAAAGTACTTTTATTAAGTGAACCCAAGTTGGTAAGTCTCGATTAGCAAGTTATGTAATGAACATGTGATTCCTGAATTTGTTTTTGCTATTTCAAAACCTCTCAGAAATAAATAACACGGCAGAAGACAGCTATTGTACTGAAGTTGATAATTAACATATTTGAAACACTCCTCCTGTCATTTTACTATAGTAGCCATAGGTCTTCCTAAGAATGCCTTGTCACCTTAAAATAGTCTACTCAACTTTATAAAAGAGTATTCCTCCAAATTCTTCGGTATGATCACTGAAGATTTATATTCTAGTTTGAATATGTTCACTGTCTGCAATAAAAACCCCAGTGGGAAAATGCCCTAAATGGCAATGATATGGTGAACGGAGACACCTGCCACCAACATGTCTATCTGTAGCCCAGTTGTCGTGCCATCCCCAGCAGGAAGCAGCTCATATTCTCAGTGCCATGACGTAGACTTCTTGGGAACAGCCTTTAATACTTTGTCCATTTCCTTCTGAAACTCTTTAGACTTTAAGTAGATAAAACATATCAAGATAACTTTTTTGATCAAAACTTTTAGAATAAGTTGGTAAAAAGCACACATAATTGGACTCAATATGTTGCATTTATTACTGATATTTACTGGCAGTTGCAGTAAGCAACACGTTTTATATTTCCCTCTCCTTCAAAGGCTCAGGGTGAGTGGTCAGATGTTCTTTGTCTCAGTGTTTAGAGTCGCTGAGTTCCAGGAATGGTCTGAAATACATGTGTTATTTAATATATGTGGTTCCACTTACTATGAGGCTAAACATGGGTCAACTTCCTTTAAGAAATACCCAGGTTCTCTTAGGACTTATAGGAGGCTTATAAGAGCCATCAGCAATGAACTCCATGGCTTATGGCACAC